TTTTTTTTTTTTTAAAGTATTAATTTCTTAATATGTGTGCAAGTGATAACTAGTATCTATTTCTCTTCCAAGATACAGAATACATGTCACTCCCTAGATGGCTCATGTGTGTTTCTTAGGCAAATAATTTCTCAGTGATCTTGGCCTTTTAGGCTGTTATTTTTCAGCTTACTTCCAGCTATTTTATTAACTATATAGGACTAGAGTATATTTATAAACTTCAGCAGGTTTCTACAGAACATGGAACAAAACTTTGTACAAAGGAATAGGGATGGGCCTATATCTTTGATTTGTTCCTTTTACTGCTCTGGATGTTGTATACCTTTCATGTGCATTTCAAAGTCATTCTCTTAATGCTTAGGGACAGTGTTTTTATGAAAATATTTATATGGAAAGAGAACCTACCTACCAAAACTGTATTATGCTCTTACTGTGCACATAACAACACCACCACCAATAGCATGTTTAAGGTACTATGTTAAGGACTGTGATGGGTGGGGTATCTAGAAGTCAGTATATCCATCTTTATCTTCAGAAACTTTAGAGTCTACTGGGAGAAATCTTTGGATGGCTAACTAATATATAAAATTGGATGGCAAGTATTACAGTGGAGATGTAAAGCACTATGACTGTGGAGAGGCAGCAATTATTCCTGATAGTTGGAAGCTGGGAGTGGTTATAGAGATTTGAATTGGATTTTCAATGGCTGACTTTTTGGAAGTAGATCACCTTCTTCAAAGGTGTCTCTGGGTGTACTTGAACCTCCAACCTTTTGGTCAGCAGCCAAGCACATTAACCATTTGTACCACCCTATATAGATTTGAATCAGTCTTCAAATGGTTAATAAGATTTTGTCTGGTAGGTATAAAAGTTAAGGTTGTGTTTCAGAAACTGGGTATTCAGGGCAGAGAGAGTTTTAATTGAGTAGGAGAGAGGCTAGAAATGAGGGAACAGTAGATTGGGAAATAAAATAATGAATGTAAAATACCTAGCATAGTGCATGCTAATATTTTAATGAAAACTTTGCTTCTTTCTAATTCCAAACATAATGATCTTTATTCATCTCAAGAAGTGTCTTAACTGGGATCTTAAAAGCTTGCAAGCGGCCATCTGGATGCAATGATGGGTCTCTCCTCATCCAGAGCAAAGAAGAATGAAGAAAATCAAAGATTCATGGAAACAATTAGTCCAAGTGACTAATGCAGTTCTCAGCCTATATGACTATGAGACCAGAAGAACTAGATGGTGCCCAGCTACCACTGTCAACCACTCAGAGGGGGATCTATGTAGGAGATCCTGGGTGGAGTGGGAGAACATTGTGGAACAAAACTCAAAATCATTAAAAAAAGAAAGAAAGAAAGGACCAGGTTTGCTGGTCTGGTAGAGCCTGATGGAACCCTAAGACTATGGCCCCTAGCTGCCCTTCAGGTCTGGAATTAAACCCACTCCTATGGCTTCTAGCCAAACAAAAGACAAGCATATGAGCTGAACATTTACATTAGGTAGACACACATTCCTTGGAGAGATCAATCATGGGAGAAAAGAAGGGCTGCACAGGGAGACAGCTCAGGGGGCAGGAGTGCATGGAGGGGAGGACCAGGGAAGAGGTAACTATGGGGAGGAAGTGGAAGGGGAGCTGTTGCACTGTGCGAAATTGTAGTCAATGTCATGAGACAAAGTGTATGTGAGCTGCTGTATGGAAAGTGAATTTGCTCTGCAAACTTTCACCCAAATTATAATTAAAAAAAGGTGGGGGGGAAGTGCCTTAAATTTTTTTTTTTTTTTTAAAGAAAGTACCTTTTAGTCCCCCTTAGCCCAAAAGTTAACTTTTAGTTTGATGTGACAAAGTAAAGCATATATTTTAGCTGATTTTCAAAATTGCAAATGTGGTAGTAAAACCAAAGTAATTGCTAAGGAATCAGTACATTAGATTAATGCACAACCAAGTTTCTGAACCATTTCTTTCCTCAGAAGGTGACCTGTTGGGAAAAGTAATACAAATACTGGGAAGAACCTGCTCTTCTGCACCAAGCAGGGGACAATGTCACAAGTCACCACCTCTTATTCCTTTGATGCACCCACGGACTACATCAATTTCACATCTTTGAATGATGAGGAAGATAACAGAAATGTAGATTCCTGGTTTGGTAAGTGTCTGCTTTCTCTGGCCATTGGAAGGGTTCTTTTGTGCTGAGAATATTTAAAAATTAGAAGTGGCTTCAAGAAAATAACTAAAATATAAATTCCTTTTTGGACCAAGATACGTTTTCATCCATGATATGATAGAAATTAAAATACACAGTATTTGGGGAATGGACTAGTAGTGCAAGTCAGTATTATTTGTTGATCCTTCTTGTTGCTCTTTTATAACCATCTACCTTCCTCTTGCCACCCTTCTTCTCTACTCATTTTACCTTTTTCTTTCTTTCTTTCTTTTTGAACATTTGATTGTGGTTTGGGTGAAAGCTTACAGAGCAAATTAGTTTCCCATTCAACAGTTTATACACATTTTGTTTCATGGCATTGGTAACAGCACCCTTCCCACTTCCTCCTCGGGTTCCCTGTTTCCATCTGTCTATCTTTCTTGCCTTCTGAACTTTGTTTTTGGACAAATGCTGCCCTTCTCTTCTTGTACGGTTGATTGGTCTAAGGAGTTCATTCCTCATGTGTATTATTGTTCATTTTATAGGCCTGTCTATTGTTGGACTGAAAGGTGAACTCTGGGAGTAGGTTCAGTTCCAGGTTTGAAGGGTGTCTTAGGGCCCATCGTCTCAGAGCCATTCATTTTAGAATGGAGGAATTATGCTACTTACAACCCAGTCCCCAAACAGAGAATTGCTTGATGTTGGATCATTGATGTGGCACAAACCCTGCAACTAGGCCAACAAATAAGGATGTGGTTATGTTTTATTTTACTTTGGAATAATATGTGAGACTAGTGATAATGTCAGGCTAGTAGTTGCTGGAGTTTGTTCATTTTATTATTTCTCATGTTTTCTATCGTCCTTATTAAGATAAATCAGTATATGGTGAGGATAAAGTGAGACTGTTACAGTCCTATTTATTGCTTACAATGTAGTGTCCAAATGTAATGACACATGCCACTCTCTTGGAAAAAGTCTAAATGGTATCTAGTGGGGGTCTTGAGAGAAAGGGTTTATTGGAAGTGATGGAAATGGCTGGATCGGCTGAGAACTTTTCCTCTTAAATTTTCTTTATAACAAAAAATAGAAAACATCAGTATAACAATACTACTAAATAAAGTATGGAAGAAAATAATTTTTTCAAAACTACCTTGTTGTTATGTTGTTGTTATATGCTGTTGAGTTGGACCCGACTCATAGCAACCCCTCTTTGGGTGTCCTTAGTAGTAACATGTTGTGTTGTTGTTGTTATGTGCTGTTGAATTAGACCTGACTCATAGCAACCCTTCCTTGGGTATCTGAGGCAGTATCACTACAGAGTAGATTGCCCAACTTTCCTTCTGAGGAGTGGCTGGTGGGTTTGAACCACCAGCCTTCTGGTTAGCAGTCAAGTGCCTTAGGCACTGTGCTACCAGAACTCCTTTAGTAGTAACATATTACTTTCTAATTGTCTTCCAGGGAGCCCTGGTGGCTCAGTGGTTAAACTGCTCGGCTGCTAACCTGAAAGTTGGCGGTTTGAACCTATCAGCCATTTTGTGGGAGAAAGATGATGCAGTCAGCTTCTGTAAAGATTTACAGCCTTGGAAACCCTATGGGGCAGTTCTACTCTGTCCTATAGGGCTGCTATGAGTTATAGTAGACTCAACTGCCAGTGGGTTAATTGTCTTCCAGTAATCTTTTTACATACTTGCAGAGTATACAGAGTAGTTACTGCTTGGCCTTCTTGCAGTCCTGAAGCTCTGTCTATCTGTAGGCTGTTGGGGGGGAAGATCTTTCACTGGTTTGCACTGACTTTTAGATACAGAAAAATCTAAGATAAAATGCCTTGAGAGAACCAAAAGAACTAGATAGTGTCTGACTACCTCTACTGACAGTTCTAACCAGGGGCACAATAGAAGGTCCTGATTAGATTGGAAGAAAAATAGAGAATGAAACTCAAATTCATAAAAAAAGACCAGACTTACTGGACTAATTGAGACTATAGGCACCCCTGAGACTACTGCCCTAAGTTACCCTTTTCACCTGAGCCACTCCTGGAGGTTACCTTTCAGCCAAATAATAGATTGACCTATAAACAATAACAGTCATAAGGAATGTGATCCTTTAGACAATCAACTCTACAAGCCCAAATGGTCAACATTACATGAATGCAAAGATGGGAAGGCAAGGAGGGGTGGGGAAACTGGATGAATAGAAACGGGCCAGGAGGGGTGGAAATGGTACGAGTGCTGACACATTGTGGGGATTGTGATCTATGTTACAGAACAATTTGTATATAAATTACTAAATGGGAATCTGAGTTGCTGTGTAAAGTTTCACTTAAAGCACAATAAAATATTTTTTAAAAACAGAAAAAAAATTCCTTGAGAGAAGCTAGCTGTGTTCCACCGTTATACACCCTACACTCCTTTCTCACCACCCCAGTTGAGGAAAAACCATGATAAAACTATATGCTGTCCCTTTAAGCTCTGCAGAAGCTGGTGGCTACAGTTGGCTTAAGAAGAATGGGATGTATTTAGGTGGTAGATAAGGCCAGTTCATGCTTGTATGGTCCTAAATGTGTATCAAGCAGAGATAAGGAACTATTCACAATGCCGAATCTTCACTGTAGCACGTTGTTTGGTGTTACTAGTGTTGATGTGATAATCTGCAGTGTCTATTTCTGACATATAACTGTTCCCGTTTTCTTTTAGTCAGTAGAACTTTGCCTTGTTCATGTCAAATTGAGTCAAAAGTGTACTGATAGGGGGCTTTAGGCCCCATTTGAAGTGCATGACACTGATTTATTTGCTTCCTTGCTGATTATTTAGATAATGATGATTTTACCTTTTCACAGAGGAGAAGGCCAATTTGGAGAATACATTTCTTGTGAAGAATGGAACAGGAGGACTTTTTCAGGGTAAAACTCCTCCGAGAAAGAGTAATCGCCAGCAAGCTATCGTTACACCTCTGAGACCAGGTGAGCAAGAGCATCTTAGAAAAAAAAGCTCCTTGGCAGAATGGTGGGTCAGTGCATTAGGAGCTTGAAGGACCTGGAGAAATTATCTAAATGCTGTATCCTTTGCTTTTCACTGGTGAGACGGGCAAATTCATTTTGTGATGAATGTGAAACTAGTAAGGTGCTACACTTTTTTTTTTTTTTAAATCTTTAGAACTAACATAGAATCTTATTACCAGATGCTTACCTGTTTTCTTTTTACGGCAAATTCTAATGTAATCTAACCTAGATCAGCCTGGGAACAAAACAGCAAGAGAGAAGAATGCACTGTTCACTATTGTATAAGCATGTAACTGATTTTAAAAGACGAGTGAGAGAATGTTGTTACTAAATCTGCAGAATATTGTCTATTTGATCAGGATCATAAAATAAGCATTGTTTAAGAGGTTGTAAATCTATACTGAAAATTTTTTTTAAATAATAGCCTTCTTGAGATATAATTTTCATATTGTATAATCTATTTAAAGTGTACATCTCAGAGGTTTTTAGTATATTCATGGAGTTGTGCAACTATCACCACAATCTATTTTAGAACATTGAAAATGATTCTAATGGGTAAATCTGAAACTGGCCTCATTCTCACCATTAACTGGAGGGTCCAGATCAGAGAAATATTTGTATTTTCAGTGAACTTCTCTAGTTTGCAGAATCTGAGCTGCTAGACTGACCTTCAAATTATTGGTGAGTACAGGTAGTACCTTTGGAATTTGGAATCTGGACAAGGACCCTGAACTTTTGCATTCATTTTTCTTGTACAAGGGGTTAGAACTATGTGGCATGTTTCAGCTGACATGCTTGGGATCTCTATCTGTGGCCTAAGTGCTGTATCTTCAGGAGAATTTCATTATTTTATTAGCTGGGCAGATTTGCTGTTTCTGTGATGGTCTTTGTGCCTGTGGTAGTTATGTTTGTGTGTCAACTTGTCTGGGCCTGGTTGAGTGGCTGGACAGCTGGTGGTAGTTATTTCCCATGATGAGACTGGTAATCAGCTCCATGGTGGGATCTACCACAGGCAGCTGCCTTTGCGATGTGGTCTGCTTCCTGTATATAAGGAGAAGCCTTGGGAATGGTCTCTAGTTTATGGCACGCTTGGACCCTGCATGTCGCCATATCGTTGTTCAGCAGCCTGCCATGCTCTACCAACCTTGGTTGAGTGGCCTGCCATGTGGTTTGGTAACATCGGGACTGTGCCTTGTTGTCAACCTTGGGCTTGTTAGCCTCAGCAGCCAGCAGCTGCCTGAGTGAAGAGATGCCTCTAGCTTCAGTGGGCCGGGAGCAAGAGGCAGAGCTGAAGCCCAAGGTTGAGGGGCTTTCATCCAGCCCCTAGAGGCTGGCACTTTGAACTTGGACTTTTAGCCTCCGTATCGTCAAAGAATAGACTCCTGTTTGTTAAGGCCATCCCATTTGTGGTATATTTCTGTCACAGAATGGTACCAGGGAATCAAAAGAGTACCCTGCTTTTTTTTTTTTTCAATTGTGCTTTGGGTGCATATTTACAAAGCAGATTTGTTTTACATTCAACAGTTCATGCACATTTGATTTCACGTCCCGATTACCATCCCCAACCATAAAAACTCTCCTCCCCTCTCCTCCCTGTGACTGACCCCTCTCTGTGCCCTTCTTATCTATGGATTCCTATCTGTCCAGTTTTCCCTCTATGTGAATGCTGCCCCTCTGATGTCTCATGGCTGGTTTATCTAAGGGGGGCATCTCCCTAGAGTAGATTAGTGCATCACCCTGGGATAGGCATTCTACTTGTAGGTCTTTCCACTCTTGGGCTGAGAGTCAGTTCGTGGAAATGAGTCCATTTCTAGGCCTGAAGTGTAATCTGGGGCTATAGTCTTGAGGGTTCCACCAGTCTCTATCTGACCAGTAATTCTAGTCATTTTTTGTGTTTTTGAATTTTGTTCCACATTTTTGTTCCCACTCTATCCAGGATGTCCAATTTGATCCCTTTCCAAGCAGTTGGCATTGGTAGCTGGGCACCATCTAGTTTTTCTGGCCTCAGGGTCATGAAGGCTGAGGTCTTCGTGGTTCATCATATCTTTGGACTAATTATTTCCAGGTGACTTTAATTTTCTTCACTCTTCTTTGCTTCGGACAAAAAGAGACCAATAGTTGCATCTTAGATGGCTGTTCGAAAGCCTTTAAGACCCCAGTCGCTACTCTCTTTGTGCCCTTCTTGAATGAAAAGGCATGTAATGTTACCTAGTTTGTTTGGACTGTTTTGTATCTAATAACTTGTATCATCGAACAGAACCATAAGCACCAAAGCTTACTTGCTGGACCCATCTGTGACAAAGACTGCACACTGTTTATATATAAGCCCTTAGTCCCCTCAGGTCTTCGTATTCTTATTGCACATTCTTACCTCTCTCTTAATACTATTCTGTCTGCTCAGAATGACCTTTATTATCTGACTGAAAATTCCTATTCATCAGCAAGGTCCAGCTCAGATAGCCCTTTTTTCTGTAATTGATTCTCTTCATGTTCTTAAAGCACTATTCATACCTCTGTTTAACTTTCAAGTATGATGTTGAATAGGAGTGGAGTGAATAGGCCTCCTTGTCTTATTTCTGATTTAGGGCAAAAGCATTCAGGCTTTTACCATTATGTATGATGTTAACTGTAGGTTTTTCATCGATGTCCTTTATCAAGCTGAGGATATTTTATTCCTCTTTTGTTGGTCATTCTGATCAGCAATGGATGGGTGTTGAATTTTGTCAAATGCTTTTTCTGCATTTATTGAGATGGTTATAAGATTTTTTTTTTTTTAGTCTGAGTTTCCATTGTTAAGTCGACCTTGCATTTCTGGGATGAACTCCTGTTGATCATGATATATTTTTCTTTTTATATATTGTTAGATTCAGTTTGCCAAATATGTTAAGAGCTTTTGCATCTATATTAATGACAGGTATTGGTCTATAGTTTTCTTTTTTGTGATGTCTTTATGTGTGTAAGGTAAGATATAATTTGCCATTTAACCATTTTTTTAGAGTAGAGTTCAGTTAAATTAATTACATTGGCAATGTTGTAACTGTTACCATTACCTATTTCCAAAAGTTTTTCATGGCTTCAAGCAGAAACTCAGTTCCCATTAAGCAGTAACTCCCCATTTTCTCCTCTCCCTCAGCACCTAATCAACTTTTTTTTTTAGCACCTAATCAACTTTTGTCTCTGCATTTGCCTTATTCTAGATATTTTTATATAAATAGATCATAGTGGTTTGGTTTTGATATCATAGTAATGCTGGCCTCATAAAAAGAGTTGTGAAGTATTCCCTTCTCTTCAGTTTTCTGGAAGAATATGTGTAGAGTTGGTACTAAGTCTTTCTGAAATATTTGTTACAATTCACCAGTAAAGCTATCTGGGTCTGAATTTTTCTTTGCAGGAAACTTTGTAACTATAAATTCTACTCCTTAAATAGTTAAAGGGCTACTCATATTATCTGTTTCTTCTTGAGGGAGGTTTGGTTGGTTGTCTTTCAAATGATTTGCCCATTTCATCTAAGTTCCTGAATTTAAAGACAAAATGTTCATAATATTCCCTAATTTTTTAATACTTGTAAAGTCTATAGTAATGTTACTTCTCTCATTCCTGATACTTGTAATTAGTGTTTTCTCTTTTTTTTCCCCTTGATCAGTCTGGCTAGAGATTTATTAATGTTATTGATCTTCTCAAAGAACCAGCTTTTGATTTCATTGAATCTCTTGTGTATGCCACCTCCCCCCACCCCCACCCCACCACCTTTTGTTACTCTTGCATTGCATGGTTTCCGCTGGTGATCTTTATTATAGCCTTTCTTCTGCGTTGAGTTTTTTCAGTTTCTTAAAGTGGCATTGAATTGAGAACTTTCTTCTTTTCTAACATGTGTGTTCAGTGCTATGTATTTCCCCTTAAGTCCTTTAGAGGCCAGAAGAATTAACAGATCTGTCTTGGAAGAAGTAGAGCCAGAATGCTTCTTAGAAATGAGGGTGGTGAGAGTTTGACTCTTGTGCTTTGGTCATGGTATCAGGAGGGACCAGTCCCTGGAGAAGGGCATCAAGCTTGGTGAAGTAGAGGGTCAGTGAAAAAGAGGAAGACCCTCAATGAGGTGGATGGACACGGTGGCTGCAACAGTGGGCTCAAACACAGCAGTGGTTATGAGGATGATGCAGGACCGGGCAGGGTTTCATTCAGTTGTACACAGGGTCGGTTAAGAGTTGGAACTAGCTCCTTTAACGGCATCCTACAATTGTTAGTGTTCTGTTCTTATTTTCATTTCATTCCGTTGAAAATACTTTTTATTTTTCCTTTTGATATCTTTTTTGACCCATGTGTTATTTAGATAGCTGCTGGCAAGTCAATTTCAGCACATGACAATTTTATGTACAACAGAACAAAGTGCTACCTGATCTTACATCACTTTCAGGATTATCTGCTTATCAGCAACGCTGTCCTTAGGGCTATTGTGCTCGTCCATTTCACTGATGGTCTCCTTCACTGGCTGGCTGTTTCACCCAACAAGCTCTGAAATCTATGTGGTTCTTTTGAATAGTGTTAGCATAGTATATATCTTTTTCTATCTTTACTTTTAATCTACCTGTGTCTTTATATTTCAGGTACATTTATTGTAGGCAGCATATAGTTGGGTCCTGCTTTTTTATCCAGTATAACAATCTTTGCCTTTTAATTGGGACCAAAAACCAAACTCACTGCCATCGAGTCGATCCGACTCATAGCAACCCCTCCTTGGGTTTCTAAGGTGGTATCTCTTCGGAAGTAGATTGCCCAATCTTCCTTCCGAGGATTGGCTGGTGGGTTTGAACCACCAGCCTTCAGGTTAGCAGTCAAGTGCCTTAGGCACTACGCCACCAGAGCTCCCTCTAATTTAGCCTTAACACAGTATAGTATTATTTTGTTTGTTTGTTTTAATGCCTTATTTTCTCCTCCAAAAATAAATAAATAAAATAACTATCTCCTTTGGTGGAGGTATTGAATGATTGTTGTCTGGAAGGAATAATTCAAGAAATGTATTTTATCGGCCTGTCTTCTTCCCTGTTGTCTGTTACAGTTTTCCCCTTTTATCAAGGCTCGGTTCATATACTATGCAATTGGATGCTGTTTCTTCCGTGAAGCCTGTTCTTGACTGCTCCTTCTCCGCATTCTCATAGTACTTTGCTCTGTTTCATTAAAAATGTTTATGTAAAAATACATGACCATGGTAATAAGAATACTAAGAGTATACAATAGAATGTTTTCTTTCTCTTCCTAGTTACTTTCCTCAAATACTACATCTTTTACATATTACCATTTTAAGTTATGCTGGTGGTTATATCCATAATGCCTGATAATAAAATTATATCAGTAGTATTTACATTATAGTGATTATATACATATTGTTCATTGCCAAGCCTGCTAGTATGATGTTGTTGTTGTTATGTGCCTTCGAGTCAGACCTGACTCATAGCGACCCCTCTTTGGGTTTCTGAGGCACTATCACTACGGAAGTAGATTGCCCCATCTTCCTTCCGAGGAGTGGCTGGTGGGTTTGAACC